CTGTGGCTGTCTCTCCTGTTCTTGGAACATGTGAAATATGTATTTTAGGGTACTAACTGGGCCCCATTGTATCTCATTTCAGTTTTTTCTTTGTAAACAGTTTTGTCTGTGTATGTATGCATACATGTCTCTGTGCTTTATAAGAACCATCAGAAATCTTAAGCCACATGTGAGAAGTGTTGCTCGGACGGATGTTTTAATTCTACTTACTGATGGGATTAACTATGTTTATAGAGCTTTTATCTTTGGACGGTGTGTTACGACTGTACAGGATACTAGGGAAATGTAAAACACAAAAACGGTTTTTATTTACAGGGAAGGCTGTCAGTGCATAATGTTATATCTGCGACTCAAGCTGTAGCATTTGCCTTAGCACAGCCAAGGCCCTGTTCTTTCCCCATCTACAGGCCCATGAGTCTATTGTTGCCTTATTTTCCCTTCATCTCTGTACAGATCTGCTTTCTTTAGCTGTCTCCAGAACTCCAGACTCCTGGCCCTGGCGTTACAGCCTTCATTACTTGTCTGTATTTTTTTCTCTAGTTACTGTTTCGTAGGATTCCCCTCCTAATAGCTTTCATATCTGATCCAGGCCAGCTGTGTAGAAATTGAGAACAGGCAGGTTTCTGTTCCTTTTACAGCATATGTTTTCTGTAAGGAACGTGTGATTTCCAAGAAGATTATTCAAGTGCAAACATGCATTTGCACTAGTGAGGTATACCAGAACGTCTTAATATGCTAAACTTTGAACAAGAGTAATCTCTTCCTTTACAGGTTTGTATATTGTGTTAGCATAGTGTGGTGCTGATCTGTTAGCTAATCCATAGAATATATCACAGGAAGAAGGAATAAATCAGAGAAGAATAGATTATTTCATATTTATCTTCAGTCACAAAAGTGCACATATGTACTTACCTGAAAAACAAAATAATTTGGCATTTGTAGGTTTATATGATTTAAAGAGATGAAGAGTAGAAAAACTAAAAAAATGTTGAAATTGTAAGTGCCGGTGAAGTTGTTAGATGTCAACAATTCTTGTATTTTCTTTCAAAATTTTAAATATAGTTGTTTGGTATTTTGGTATACAGTATGTTAAGGGTTAAAGAAAGTGAGCTTTACAGTAGGGAGCAAGTTTTAACTTAATTGTGGAATAATAATAACCATCTCATATATATCTTCTGAAACGTCCATTTGGCATCAGACATGTTGGCAGCTAGGATCTGGGCTCAGGAAAGTATGCTGCAGTGCTCTTAACTTGATGTACAGGATTCAATACATTTCCAGTTCAACAAAGTCCCAACTGTGTATTTCAGTGTGATTAAATGTTTAGTTGAAATGTCTGTCTTATAGCGTATAGAATACCCTGTAATAAGACAAACTGAAATGTACTTTCTATTAGAAGGGGGAAAACAAATAGAACTCCAAAATCTGAAAATTTGAAATAGATTTCAAATTTGTTGGGTTTTCCCCTTTTGTAGTCTATGGTGCACAAAAAGACCGAACACTTCTGATACTTGTGCACTGGTAAACCGTGTTTGATCCACCGATTAACTTGAAAAAATTGCCTCTTTACCTTGTAAATATGCCTTGTTCTCTCAAGAACAGATCTGTAAAATGAAAGTTCATGTAAAAATGGTAACTGTTTTAAAGCAATGCAAGCATGGTGCTTTGTAAGATTTGTTGCTTTTCTGTCCTTCTAGATGGAAGAAGATAAGGGTTCAGTCAGCTCAGCATGTGACTTTGCTGAAAGCAGGCACAGAGGGGAGGACAATAGGCAACTGCTAGATCCATCTAGCCTACCCGACAATTCTTACGTTCACTAGGTAGTACTCCCACTCTACCCTAATGTGTGTGTATATACATTTATATATATCATATATAGACAGTCATGAAGCCATCTCCCAAATACGCATATTTTTGGTATCTACAAGAAAATTTGCATCATAGTATGTGGGTTTGATTTTTCCTTATCAAGCTGAATCATTCTTTAATTCTGCACTTCAGTTGCTTTTTGATTTATTACATGAAATGGGCCATTATCATATAAAGTATTATGTTTATTGTGATCCTGGATCTTACCTTATGAAAATACTTTATTTGCAGCCCAAATATAAATAATAATATATATTTCTCTATACTTACTCATTTTTTAAAGCATTGTTTCGCCTGCCTTTTGTTTCCTGAGGGTTTTGTATCAGGTCTTCAGAGACCATTATGCTCTACTGCCTTACCATGCCAGGTTTTACTTTGATATAAAAGTATAATCATAATTGTCCGCCACAGGGAGAAAAGTGAGAAAAGGCACTCTTTAGCATAATGTAAGCATCTTCCTTCCAGGTAGTGGATATAAATACAAAAATCCATGTTCACCAGGCAGTGATATACAATATATCTACACATAAAATTGAATTTATTCTTATGTTGTCCTTCATGCTCTCCCAGTATTGCTTTACACTTGACTGTGAGTTTGATAAAACATAAATATTGTTTCCAGGCTTATGTAAGGTCACATTTGCTGTTTTTTTAAAAAAGGGTAATACTAACTTTTCCATAAATTGTGGTTCAAGCATGATCCTAGCTTTTTCTGGGTATCTCACTTGAGAAGAACAAAGGAGATTGTAGTGAAGAAGAGACACCAGCCCTCCAAAATCCAGAGCTTGAGGGTTCACTCCGTGGAAGCTAGTTTGGGTTACTCTTGGTTCCTCTTTCTGCCAGTCTTTGAACAATATCTAGGACTGCTAGCTCTCAGGTCAGCAGATTCTAGGGGGAAAAAAGTCTGTTCCATCTGATCCTACATACAAGCGCTGTAATAGGACCTTTTACAGTAACTTTAAAGTTATGACTTGGTCTGCTTCAAGATAATGGATGGACTAAATATTCTTTTTGAAATCCTAATTGTAGGAATGTTGAGATGAGACTTTGTTTTGTATTGCTGTGAACCCAACTGTGAAGATCACTGCATGTGTGGCAGGGAGCTTGCTTTCTGACCTCCTAATAGGAATTCCTTCTGCTCTGTGTAATTCCTTGTCTTGATATACTGTGAGCGCAGTATGAAGTGGATGTGAAGTCATATTTGCTAGTACTGCAATGCTGCAAATTGTGCTGTTCCTAATTATGGTATCTCTGTGACAGCACAATAGTGACCAGATGTGATGGTCATCAAATAAGAGCATTCAGGGACTCAAGCTCTGTTGAGGTGTGTTTTGTTTTGGTTTTGGTTTAACCAAAACCCCTTTTAAACCTGTCAATTGCAATGCTTCTGCTCCTGTCTCTCAGGTATTTACAGAAGTTCATTGTCATAGTAAATGTTCATTTTCATTTTGTGTCCAGACGACCTCTCAAATGAGTGCGAGTTAGTCAGAAGTGTGTGTTCTGCCTGCACTCATTCATGGCCTCCAAGGTGCAGCAACTGAATCAAGGATTTCAGTTTGTAACGCTTTCTCTAAGTTCATACAATTGTTAACTGACAATCCTGTGTTCTTCACGTTAAGCAGGGTTGATGGGAAGATCTGGACCGACTATGGGGAATGTGGAACAGAGCTGAGGAAGGGGCAGGCATAGGAAAAGATGCATGGAAACACCAGTTCTGCCTGTGTGCGCCCTCCTTGTCCTACCAGTTGGGATTTTTGTCTTGGATTTCCAAATGCCTCTTGTTTCTCTTAGCTGCCTCTTCTTTGTAGTACAGGAATCGTTCTGTTATGAAGCTCTAATCTGTCCAGTTGCCTGTTTTGGGGGATTAGGAAGGAATATGTCCACTCACAGTAAACCATTCCCATAGGGAACTCTGAGGCTTTTTGCCTTCCTTGCAGTGTTGGGCAACTGTGGGTGGCATGAAAGAAACTGGGGTTGGAAACCAAAGTCTTCAGACAACAGTCAGCGACCTTTGGTCACACGGTGAAAAGTTGGGGGAAACTCTTAAGTGAGCTGTGTCCTATCATAGACTAAGATGCCTCCTCCCAGATTTCTTCATTCACTGGTGTCTGAGAGTGAGGTGAGGATAATGGATGCTTAAATTTAGCCTGTGTGTTCAGCATTTGTTTGACAGGATGCTCTCATGCAGAGTTTCAAGTTAAATTAAAAAGCATCCCCACATCTCACATCTTTACCTTTTGGAAAGGATACTGAAGTCAGTTTTGGATGTTCTCTCTCCAGCAGTACTAGATTTCAGTTAGATTTTAGTTATGCTGCAGTTGACTAGTGTGCAAAAATAATATAGAGGAGCACACGGATAGGTGGCACTTAAACCCATACATCTCTGTATTACTACTTTCATTTTGTTTGGGTCTTTTTCTCACCTACAAAGAATAAACAGTAGAAAGTTTATTATGCTAATGTTGAATTATTCTTCATGCTGGCATGAACATGACTGAACCTTTCTAACATCAGCCTTGTTTGCACTGAGATACAAGATACTCACAAAATCAGGAATGCGCTTTTGTTCTTTACCAAGCTAAGTGATTATTATTATAGGAAGTTGCATTCTACACTTCTTGCTGAAAAATTATTACTTACGATCAGGTTGCTGCATTGTATTCTGCAGCCCTGGTCTGAAGCTTTGTCTTGATAGATTTTCCTTAAAATAGGGCAGACCTGCAGCTTGTATAAATTGCTGTACCTCTGCTGCGGTTAATCAAGGCGTCACAGCTTAAACTGTGTGACACGCTGCTCCAGAGATTCATTATAGCTGTAATGCAGAGAATTGCTAACCAGTTTATTTCCAACATTAAGCAGAGATGGTGCTAAACAATTTCCATACGCTCACCAAGGCCGCATTCAAACCTTGGGAAGATCAAGTTTTAGTGTATATAGACCTTAGGAAGGGAAATGTTAATCTTATTCATCACTGTAGTTCTCCTATAAAATTCAAAAATATTCAACACTCTAAGAAAACCTGCTTTTCCTAAGTGTTTTCTGATAACATCTTCTTGCAGTGAATGAATCAGTAAGTACTGATTATTTTTTTTTTTTTTTTTTTTTTTTTTTCTCCTTCCTCCTCCTTCCAGCTTACTGAGGCAGGTTCAGGTATCAACTGCTTGGACTCCATGTGCTGCTTCTCAGATGGGGAAACAGCATGCACATCTGTTAGAAGAATGCTGGAACGACTAATGGGAAGATGTAGTCCAACCCGGGTCAACAGGTGTGGCATTTCTCTCAATAGCCTTTGCTGCAGACGATTCTCCTATAAACTGGAACCTGATGAGCCTGCAGCAATAGATGTCTAGCAAACCAGCTGCAGGTTTTGCTTATTTAAGTAGGAAATGCAACTCTTTATTGTACTTCTTTCATCCTAAAAGATTAATTTCTTGGTTTTTTCTGAGTGCTTTCTTTTGGGATAGGGAGGAGGAAAAACAATTTTCAAAAGATTTCTGTTAAAATGTTTAGTTTGGCTTACTACAAGTTCTTGTGTTGTATCTATCGTAACTTCCCTTGATTTGTACATTCTTCTCTTTAGAAAATCAAGCCTTGCTGCTGTTTTTGTTCTCCTCTTTATGATTTTTTTTTTTTTTTTTTTTTTTTTTGCCTTCACAAATCAGGGGTTTTTTGTAAAGTCGAAAGACTTTTCCCTTTGGTTCTTGATGTACAACCTCCAAATATTTACCTTGGAGCTTGCATTACTCCTGAAGATATACAAAAGGCTCACACTCCCCCCCTTAAATACAACTTCATTGTTAGAAGAAGAGTCTTTAAATCTTTCAGCCATTGATTGATATGAAGATGAAATATTTTTGTAGTATAACTTTTATAATCTATTTCTAAAATGAGAGTGACAGAACAGAGCCTTCACGTTCTAAGAATTTTAAACGTTTTTTCGATTCTAGAAGGTATATTGTCAAAATCATATGTGCCATTCCAAAGTATGTGCTAAATAAATCTTTTTCCTTCACAATCCATGTGTGAAACAAACCTCAATGGGATAAAAGCACGTTAGAGTAATCAGATACGTCTAAGGAGCAATACTGCTCTTGCAGTCAGCATAACTGTGAGAAAAGCTCTTTCAAAATCTGCTAACGTGCCATCTCTCCATTTCCACATAAAGAGGGATAGCTAACAAATGTGGAAATATTTGGGGGTAGAAATAAAAATAGTCTTTTGTACATCATATTCTCTCAGTCCCTGAATGTTATCATGTCCTTCATTGGTCAAAAGGCAAACCTGAAAAAGTTGCACTTCACACATTTTCAAGGAAACTCATTTTGTATTTGAACAACTTTGTCTCTTTTGGTTAAAGGTTGTGATATCATTCATTCAGTATAAAATCTTGCGTGGGTAAATGTCACTGACAAGCTTTGTCAGTTCTGATTCTGCCTTTAGGTATTGACTTGGTATGTAGTGCACTCTGTTTTGAACTCTTGTGTTGAACACAGTGTCTGTGGTTTCAGTCAGTTTCTCTTTTCTGGCTTGCTTCTGAAATTTATTCAACGTTTCTACAAATCTAGGGTATGATTATGCAACATGTTTCATTCCATATGAAAAATGAACTGTTATGATTAAGTAAATTTTTAATTCAAACTCTTGCTGTATAGAAAGCGGGCATGATGTATAAAATAAAAAATTTAATAGAATTTTTAATCTACAAGGTGAGCATTTAATTGGTCTAAAAATCAACATTTTGATAGCAGTTGCTCTAAGTTTTTGGGGTTTTTTTCCACTTCTCTGTAAAACTGTGCTTTCCAAATGAGGAGCTTCTCATGCTACTTTTTTCATTTCTTGTTATCTAATTAGGGCAGATTTTTAGTTAACATTTGCCTTAGTAACGTGTAGTCTTATAAGGTAGGTATTCTGTGTTTTATTTTCTGCAATGCATTTACATTTTTACAATTTCAGCTTTTTTCCACTTTTTTCTTTCTTTAAGAACTTACAAGTATTTATTGAAGATAACTCATATTTGACAGAATATTAAACACTTTTTGAAGATTGCTTTTTCTCAGGTTTCTTGTCTGCTTACCTCATGTAATTTTCAGATGAAGTTCCATCTAGCTGAATGATTTTAGGGTTGTTATAACACAAAAGTTAGTATTATGTGTAATGAATATGCAAAACTATCTTGGTGCTACACGAAGGGCTTGAAGTTCTGTAGTTTTTACTTACGCCTCTGGTTGAAATTACTCTGAACCATTTTCTGGTTTCACTTAAATTTCTGTACAGTACAACTAGAAAAGACTTCTTTTTTAATTTCAGTCTTGCGTTCTTCAGTGACTTCAGTTCCTTCCACTCAGCATTGACACTTAAAACCTAGTCTAAAAGTCAAGGTACTAGGACTGTTTTTTCCCCTACAGTTTCCTGGTAATATGTGAAAGTCTTTTTTTATTTTTTTTAATGCACTAATTGCTTAAATCACATGAGGCAGTTAAAAGTTGTGAAATGCTGAAGGTAGAGTTAAGAAATCTATTTGGTGATTTAAAAACACTTGTAAAATTGTTTAGCCTTTATTCATGAGCTTGAGCTGCTTTGATTTTTTTTACCTAAAGCTGGTATCTTCAGAAGATTGCATAGTCCCAAGCAGGATGGTCTTTTGTGTACTTGTGCTTTATAAAACAGCTTCTTATTCAACCAGGAGGTAGCTGCAAATTATTTTTGTTGAATGAAGTGATGCTTGTAAATACGTTGTCTGAGAGAGCACTATTTTAAATAACGTTGCTGTAGCTAGCTTGTGTTGTATTCTGTGCTCCTGATATTCTGTCAAATATGATATTCTGTTAAATATGATAACTGAACATGAAATCGAACATGGTGTCAAATTTTGATAGAAACTTTGATGAATCAAAGTTGTACAAATGCTTGGAGTAGCGGGCCACAGGAATATAGTCTCTTGTACACTTAATTTACTGCTTGTAAAATGTATTCGAGAAGTATTTTCCATAGCTTCATTCACCACATAGAATATAAAATGTGTGTTGTGATATGACAAAATGCATTTTTGTCTGTCTTCCATTAAATTGTCTGTCAACTTGTCAGTCACTAAAATAGTAAGAATGCTGGATCACATACATTCTTGTACAGTAGGATTCATTACTGAATTGTTCAGATGTCCCATTGGTGGTACTCGTGTCAAGGCATCGCATGTAAAAGTTCTGAAGAAACAGCAGATTTCTGACAGAGGCAAATTGGGAGGATAAGTTCGTTACATTTTGATTTCCTGCCTTCCAACCTTCTTATTTTTCAGCTTTGCACATACAGTCCTGTAATATTGTTCAACACAGAACAATATTTCTTCCTAAGCGGTAATCTGTCCTTAAGAGAAAGACATTGCGAGATCCCATCTGAATCAAAAGCTGTGACATGTTAGGTAGTTTTCCTGATTCCTTAAATTTTAACTTAAATTTAACAGTAAGGGATGAGATAGATTCATGGCTGTAGATAAGTTTTGCCTACCCATAAGTTTAGACAGCGTGGATGTTTATCATTAGAACACCAGTATACTGGGTTACCACGGTTAGCTGTGCGTACAACAAGGCTTTACTAGAATGACCTTGGGCTAAATCAAATTGTAGCATTCATAGTGCCTCAGATTACACATGCAACATTCAGATTTTCCTTGAGGCACAATATTAAAACTTTAGTTGTAAAACTGGCATATAAACCTCTGGTCATTTTAGTTCATAGTGATGAAAATACCTGTAGCTGTGAGTAAATTTTGCCAGAAAGGTAAACATAGACTTGTTAATTACATATTTGATGTGATTAATTGCAGTATATTTTCAGAGGTTTGAATGAATTGCAGGTGCCTACGTGAAATTAATAGATTAGTCTTCTAAAGAGTTACGTTTGCCTAATCTGGTAACACTTCTATCTTTTGCTTTCATAGACTTTTCTCCTCACCTCTAGATTGTAAGTTCCCAGTCAGCCAAACTTTTCTTTTATTGTTACTTTAGATCATGGAGTTCATCGGATCCCTTCTATGCCAACGACAGAAGCATCTTGACTCTCTCCACAATGGACTCACCCATTTGTTAACAGGGATTTTTTGTAAAAGCCTTGTGGAAGCCATGTGGTGCTCACACCCCCATAGTAGGTTCTGAAGCGAGTTCAGTGCTACATCCCTGCCCGGAAGACTAGCATGACTTCTAAATACAAACCGTGGCTTGTCTTGCGGCCTAGCATAAGTCATCTGGACAGTAATCGCTTCCAATTCTTTTTTCTAATTATATCCACAAATTGCTATATAATTTTTATTTGTAAGGAACGCTTTTACCTCTGACCATTTAATCTTTTTTGTTACCATACGAGCAGATTGGAATCCTACATTTGATACTTGAGACGTCAGTATAGCGCAGTGGCAAAATCTTTCTCCTCCCAAATCCGAGTGATCCAATAGAACTGAATTTGCACAATGAAACTTTTAAAAGTTGCATTTTTCATGATGACCCTTCACTTTAAACACACATATTAATTTTGAGCTGTGTCTTACAAATGCTGTCTTAGCAGTTTGCAAATCAATTTTGTTATTTCCATGGACAGTTACTATATTCTATAAGCAATCAGTTTAGTAATTTTTGAGAGTTAAATACAATTCAAATATTTATGCTGGTGTATGAATGGCAATATATTAGTCATTGCTTTGAAAAACACTGTTAACTTTTACAAATCAATAATTTGGAATAATAAGGTATGTAACAGTTCACTGTTCTCTTAAAGTATAATTCAGAAGCCAGTCTCCTTTTCTCATGCCCTGTGTGTCTTGTTAACAGTTTTTGATCTTGACATTGAAAAATTTGTAAAAATTGGTGGCTTGTGCAAAAGTGTCACCAGCATAAATTTTTTCAATTCTTAATCTTTTTAAAGTTGGGGAATTTTTGCATGTTTTATTCTTTTCCATGTATTTATATTTGGTCATGTTGTACTTTGAAGATACAATTAATGGTTAATTATCTTCATATATCTGAAGGATCTGAGACATTGATGGCAATGTTTTGATACCTAAGTATGCCAATAAAAACAAATTGCACAGATGGAGCTTTGAATGGTGCATCTTGCAGGTACCTCTATTGTCCCAGTATAAACGCGTCTGCATGTTTGGGGCTGGGTAACAAAATTTGCCTGTTCATTCAGCTAGGATGACTAAACCTATTGGTTGTCTTTCGATGTGGGAGATAAAATAGAGGTGCTGCCACCAGGGACAGCCATAGAGTATTGCCTTAGGTACGGCAATTTTTATGGCCAGAGGCTGGTAAAAATGCTGCTGCTTCTGGACCCTTGTTTGGCAATCCAAGTGGAAGTCAGTCTGACACTGAAGTCCCACCAATAATTGGAAGAACCTTCCTGTCAGACAGTTAAAGATGTAAAGCTGCATATTAAAATTGTCTCTGGGTGGAATAAACAGTTAATCGAACACAGACTGTAAATAACATGTACAAGAACTCCTTTAATAAAGATGCGGTTAAGCATTAGGATTTGGACAAAACCAGTATTAGCTGCTTTCACCCTGCCTGCACAAGTTCCCAGTGTTGGCTTAAGTGCTGTCTCCCAAGCAAATTACCTGGCAGATACTTTTTATTTGACAATTCAGGTGGACGCATCTTACCCTCCTGGTATGAGATCTCAGTGGGGCCTGGGCTGCTGCCAGAGGAGTGTATCCCTCTTGTTGTTACGGTCATCCCAAATTCTCCCAAGTTCCATGAGCTGCAGGAGAGGAAGTGTTCAAGAGGTCTGACTTTCCTGGTATCAAATGCTTTGGATGTTCCTTACCTATAAACAGCTCTGCTGTTCATTATTCTTGTTCATGACTTTAACTGGTATTACTTCAGTTCTCTTGGAACTTTATTTTTGCATTAGTGACTGGAAGCTTCACTGAAGTGAAGGCTGCACATACTGCGGGATTTTCAAGATCTCATTGTTCAAGGCAATGTTTGTGTAGTAAAGAAATTGTCATTGCAACCTTGTTTTGAAACACGTGGTGACTTGACCATGCAGTATGTGAGGTTTTTGTCCCACTGGCATAGATGAAGACCAGTTCACAAATCGATTAAGAAACTCTGAAAATGAATTGTGAAACAGGAGAAACAAAATCAAAATATAGCATACTTTCCTTTTAAATAAGTGTTTAATTCAGTGCTCATAGTTCTTCATATCTGTATCATGCCTTCAAATGTGTAAGCGCAGTGAAGCCTAAGCTTGAAAATTTCAGTTGCAGACAAGATCCCCACGTCGAGTGTCCAGATGATTAAGAATCACTGAAACTTGAGTCTTGCATACTCCATGTAATAGGTATTAACATGTGACTCATCTGACTGCATATAGTTTGAAACCTGGTTCCTATGCGGAGATGCAGTAAGCTGATTGTCATCTCTTCAGTCCCCGAGAAAACTTTTATCCAGATGTGCAGTAGTAAAAAAATACCCTTGGATTTCACCCACTCCTGTAACTTACTTTATATATCATATATATAAAATATTAAATCTGTTTTTAAAATAATGATTTTCTTCTTAGCAGTTTCTCATTCTAAGTCTTCATAATGCCAGGAAATAAAGAATTTTTAAAAATATTCTAATCAGATATCTGCTGTTTAGCTGTATCTTTTATGTCTAAATCGCAGTGTTTCACTTCTCAGAAGTACTTGTTTGTCCACGTCCACCATAGCATTCTAATCATCCAGTCAGTTTGTGTGACCGTGTAACCTCATTACTCTGTGTGGTTAGTGCATCATGTATTGAAATATAAACTGTGGCTGATTTTGTATAGTAGAAGGCAGAGGCTTTGATATACAACCCCGCTCCAAGCATTTAGGTTGGCTCAGCTCTGTACATATATGTATTTTGGCTTTTGCCACACAAATATGGTAATTATATTTGCACAAAAGCAGCACAGTCCTATATTTGAAGAATAATTTACGTTCATTATGTGTTTCTTTAAAACCCTCTATCTCCTCTTCTCCCTTTCCCCCTACTTTCCCTTTTCCCAGTGTTTGTAAGGTTACCGAAGAAACATGCATTTAAACAATTCAGGAAGAACTTAAGAATCCATCTGCCTGCCAAGGTATATTTTTCTATTTGCAGTAAATCTAAATCAGTAATTTCTCATTTAGTAAGAACGTAGAATTGGTTTGCGTAAGACCAGATTTTTTGGTCCGACAAATATTTTGGATGCAAGAAGTGACTGCTTTTGGTACTGATGTCACAAATCTTCTAAAAATGCTCCTATTCAAGGAAAAAAGATGTTTGTGTATTTGACAGCTGAAGTGTATGAAACCAGTCACTGTGCATCGGGTACAGTGTAGAATTCTTCATGAAGAAGACTGAACAAAATACAGCTAATGCAGTGTAACGCTGGCACTCATCTCTCTGATTTAGAGTGTGAATGGGTGAAGGAGAATTTGCCATAGAGAGGAAATGTTTTAGAATTACCTCTTAGCCTTGAAATCCATAATGTATGGCAGAAAAGCCTATAGTAGATGTTCTTGGTTAAAAGCAAGAGTAGTGTATAGTCACTTTACTATGCAGTGTCTCTGAAGAAGCACCTTCTGCGTAGCCACCTTCAGAACGGGATTGAGTTCTCAGCAGATTTTTAGTTCTTGTTCCGTGAAAAATGGGGTTTGTTTTCGTTACTTAGAAAACCATAGTTTTAGTTCCCAAACTTACGCTTTTTAAAGGGTGCAGTGGGAAAGATTAAGTAGGAAGATGCTCTGAATTGTTTCATAAACTAAAATGTAAATATTTCGCTTAAAATATTCTGTATGTTTTTTAAGGTTATGAGGAGGGGGAGGGGGAACAAAAAATGCAAAGGAAGGAATGCTGAAAAATTTGATTTTACATTTTCAGAATGATTTCTTGTTTTCTAGTGCAAAAGATGATTTGAGAAAAGATTATGCAACTTAGAATGCATATTAGGCAACTATAATTTCTTACTGGACACCTTTGGTAATACTTCCAAACATATGTTTTTTTATGACAGTGTAACTTCTATATTGGGAAAAAAAATCTCATTTTCTAGTGTTAGAAATGTCTCAAAGCTGTAGTCTACATTATTTTTAATAGTTTTAGCTGATATTTCTGTACTTCTAAATATTAGTGATTTTGGTAAAATTCAGTGTTCAGAAGTGCTCATCATAATGTGCTTCTGAACCATTTATTTTGAGAGTCTCTTTTTCTTGGTGTACAATACCTAATAACTCACACCATCGCCACTGCCTTGTTACACGGACATCATTGTTTTAAGGGAGTTATTCCTAGAGCCGGGCAAACCGTTCATTGTGGACTCATTTTAGCCTTTTTTCTGTTCCTGAATTATTTCCCAGTTAAACTTTCTTCTTTGCAGATCTGTTTCTTTTCTGTGAATGTTTTTACTGTTGGTTGGTTTGTATGTTCTTTGCTTCTGTTGTTTACCTCCAGTGGCATGATTTGTCTGGTTTCTGCTCTCTATTGGAATGACTCAATTTATAACAGGAGGAGGAAAGATTGGATGCTCATGGCTGTAGCAACTCTTGCCGTCAGTCGTCTTAGAAGTGCATTTGTGTCGGTATTTGCAAGGCTTCTGCTTTCCATAGATTTTTCTCCTTCAGCTAAATACTGCTCGTCAAGGCATCAGAAATAACAGAGAGACCTTGTGTGCTGCCCAAGCTTCTGTGGCTTTCGTTAAAAGGAATGTTCTCATCACGTTGAAGTATTCGCCTTGCTCTAGCTGTTGCCACGCTATGATGTTGTATTACAATAAGTACATACAATTGTCATCACCGTAGATACGACTTTTTTGTTGTTTCCAGTTTGTATAAATGCATAGACATGAATAAAACCGGAGGGGCCATGGGCTAAAGACCTCTACATGTAACATGAAGGGGAAAGAAATGAAATACACTGCTGTTTATGACACAAACTGTGACTTGGCTGAAGGAAACGGCCTGTGGTGTATCATACATCAGTAGGTTCTCAACTGCTCTACATTTTGGCAATGGGATAAAAGATAATCCATGAGTAATCCATGAGGCATGTAGTTTAGAAAGGGGCAAAATGGTTAAAAATGAGACTCGCTTTCAGGTATAAATAAGATATCATTATGGCAGCAAAGAACGTATTTTTTGCAATTCCCAGTTATGGCCCCATGAGAGAGTTCAGGTCCTGTGCATAAAAAAATAAAAAAATCATCTAGACTCCTGATTTTTCACTTAAGTGTGATCAAGTTCTGCTTTTTTTGAAGAGAAAAACTTGAATGAGATCATCTCTGCAAGAAGTACCTTTTTAAAGATGTTGATTTTTTTATTTTAGGCAAATAAGGGGCATTGACA